ACGCCGCAATCCCTTCTCCTCCATTCTCCTCTTGGGATCTTAGGCACGCACGCACACGCGCCCGGCGTGAGTTTTAAGCCACCGGGTCCAGGACGCGAACCGCAGTCAACTACGTGGGAGTCCAGCAACATAGCCATTACGCTAACTGCTGGTTCCCTGGACCTTACTTTTAATGAATGAAAATATGTGCTGCCTTTTCTCCTCTGTATCTACCTCCCTCTCTTCTATGGAGTCATAACATAAAATGGAAATATAATTACATATAAACATTTTGCTATTTGTATCTAGTATTTCACTATTAAAATTTAAAGTGGGATGGGGGAAATACAAGTAGATTCTTTTACATCTCTTTCTTTTAAAACGAAACAAAGCTACTCAGGGCTGTGTCCACCTCCCCCCCCCCCCCCCCCCCGCTCACTCCACGCCCGCCCCGCCCCAGTCTCAACGTCATCCAGAACCAACTGGCCTGTGAACAGAAGGGCCATGCGCATGTGCACTTGCATCCTGGCTGGTTCAGCTAAGTCCTGTGACACTTATTCCCTGTCCCTTAAAGGGAGGTGATGTTACCAGGCTCACAGCATTGGCATGGGGCTCCAGGGACTCAGTTTGGCTCAGGTCCTGCCTTCCTGGACCGGAAGAATCTGAGCCAAGAATCACTCTGGGCCAGAGAAGTGGCGTGGGGGATGGGAGGGCAGCACCCTGGGCAGAGAGCAGCTCTCAGCTCTTCCAAAATCGAAGGGTCCCTTCAGCCCACAGTGCTGTCTTATGAGTGGAAACAAGCAAAGGGGAAGTGAGGCTACGCCTGACCCCCATGTGATCGCTCCCAGTTCCCCCCAGAGGGCAGGGGAACAGGGAGACTGTCTTCCACAGCCCCAGGAACCCTGGCAGGGATACAGCAGGCCCCCCACCCCCTGCGCTGACATGGCCCACTTCCCCTGGCCTGAGCATCGCATACTGAGGGCGAGGTAAGAGGTACCTTCTGCTGATTTTAGTAGAAGCCACGGTGCACACATGGGGCACATGGGGTGGGGCGGCCATGTCACCAAAGGGAACTGAAAGAAACTCAGGCTGAATGGTGGGAGGAGGCGGAGGCCCAAGGGGCAGCTTCCCCAGCTCTGGACCAACCCTTCTGCAGTGAGTCTGGGCAGATGAAAGTGGCTTCTCTCTCTCCAAACCACCCTTCCGAGACCCAGCTTTTTAGGCCGAGGCTCTGGAGCTCCACAGGCTGGCTTGTTTCTCAGATACCCCCCCCACCCCCCTGATATCAGGCTCTATATCTAGCTGGGTGGAGCCGGGTTCTGTGACCTGAGCGAACCACTTGGTCTCTTGGAACCTGCCTGTAAAGTGGAAACGATGGGACCGTGGCGTAATGGTTACGTCACTGGACTCCCATATAGTTGACCACGGTTCAAGTACGGTTCAAGTCCTGGGCCCAGCAGCTTGAAATTCATGCCAGGTGCGTGTGCATGCATGCCCCCAATCCCAAGAAGAGAATGGAGGAGAAGGGATTGCAGCATGACCATCTCCCCTAGGGGGGGTGACTTCTCACTTTCTATCTCTCTGTCTCTCCAGTGAGTACACAGGCCCTATAAGCAAAACCTCTCTTTTAAAAAAAAAAAAAAAAGTGGAAAAAAAAAAGTGAGAACAGTAAACTCTGTGTTCCAGATGGGCTGTGAGGTCTAAACTCCACAAATGTTTCTCCAGTGCTTGGACCCTCCAAGATGAGGTGGTGAACAGTCTGCTTTGTCAAAAACGTCTTGCCCTTGGGCCAGTAGGTGGCGTGGAAGTTAAAACAGCTGGATCTCACATGACCCACTGAGAGGTTTGAGTCCCAGACCTGGTGCTTGAGAAATCACAGCACACGCATGTGCATCCATGCCCCAAATCTCTGGAGAATGGGAGAGAAGGGATTGTGATGTAGCCATCCCCCCAGGGAGTGATTTCTCATTTTCCCTCTCTCTCTGTTTCTATCTCTTTGGCTAGCACACGTGCCCAGTAACAAACTAAAGTAAAAAAAATGCCCTGCCCCTCGGGAGCTTCCATTTTAGGGAGCTATGAGAGATGAACAATATAGATCCTTAAGTAACAAAACCGGGGGGGCCTCGTGGGGCATCGTGCAATCATACAGGCTGAGGGTCTGCCAGAAACTAGTTGTTGGAGGCTCCAGGGCAGAGGCCTGATGGAACCTGACTTGGGCTTTAACACGGCCCCTCTTGCCCTTTATAAAGTGCCCCCTTGGTTTCCCACACGCGGAAATAGTAGCTGCATTGTGAGCAATACCAACGGCAGAAGCTGGGGCCTCCCCCAACTGCTTGCTGACTGCACCTCCTCTGCACACTCTGTGGTGTGACCTGGAAGTCCCCTCATGGCCAGCACTGTCATGTGGATGCCCTGAGACCTGAGTCTCCTCCTTTCTCATCCAACGGTTCTCTCTCTTCACCTGGCCAGAAGTCTTGGAAGCTGCCAGACACTAGGCTCCCTCCCAGGCCTGGCTCTTTGCTCCACTGTCCAGTTAAGGATTATGGCCATGGGGCTGGCGTGCTGACTGGAGCTCTGGACTCCCACATGGCTGATCATGATTCAAGTCCTGGGCCTGGCAAGTTGTTTTCTCTTCCTCTCTGGTCAAATTGAAGAAGAAGAAGAAATAAAATAAAATGAATCATTATTTTTTAAAAAATAAAGAATGACAGCCACGTCCCCTTTCCCGATTGGCCGCCCATCCTCTTCCTGGGCCCTGCGGCCTGGCTCCAGTCCCTTTTCTGTCAGGCTTTCCACCTGCCCCCAGGCTTTGGACTCACAGCTCGAGCTGCCCTGAAACCTCGGGAAGTCTCGGAGACCCAGACTTCCCACCAACCCCTTGAAATAACTGCCGGGAGACACTCGTTCTCCGGGGTGCCTCTCCTAGCTCTGCGCCAGGATTCTGGTTAGTTGGCCCTCCCCCAGCTTCCCAGAGCTGACGGATGCCCTCACCTCCCCCACCGCCCATGCTCCTCTGATTCCAGCTTTCGGAAATTGCTGAGTTCAGCGTCGTGCTCGGACACTTCCTCCCGCTCGCGGGCTCCGTCACAGAAAGGGTCAGGGCCACCGTCCTCCCACTGTCTAGAGGACTTGTGGGGCGTGAGGCACCTGAAAGAGGAACAAGGGGCTGCACCCCCGGCCTTGTCGGGCTCCTGTGTGGAAATGGCTGGGCCCTGGGTTTGTGGGCACAGAGGCCAGCCTGGTTCCACCAGGAGCAGCCAAGGGCTCTGGTGCCCTCTTGTCCCTAGATGAACCTGTCAAGATCAGAGTCTGCAGGTGTCTCCACTGGGGGGAGGTGTCCCATCCTGGCACACAAGGCCAGCCCACCCTCCACGTGGGGCACAGGGGACCCCCAGAATCCAGAGTGTTTATGAGCCAGAACCACCTCAAGCCCCGGCACTCAGCACCCAAGCTAAGGACCCTCTTCAGGGCAGGACAGTTGTCCCTCCCAAGGCATTCTGATATGAGGGAGGGGGAGAGACTCATTTCCACCCAGCATGGCAGGGGCAGCCCAAGGGTGGGATGGCTTCCCTCAGCCCATGTCTGGGCCTCAGCCACAGGGGCTCCTCTAGGGATGGCCCTGAGACTCTCAAGGAGGTGCCCTGTGTCCCTAAGGCATGGAGTCATGGGAGAGGGGAGTGACCCCTCAGTACTTCACTGCAGGAAGGGGAATCCCAGCTGTCCCTCTTTGGCTTTCTGGGAGGTGGACTGGGTGGAATGTGGGGCAGTAGCCAAAGAGAGCTGTGGGGACACGTGTTCACCTCCTGCTGGCCAGATCATATCGTGACCCTGCGAGGTCAGGCCCTGGCTTCCTGGAAGGGCATAGTCAGGCCTCTCTCCCACTCTGCTGGCCTCTGATATCAGGGCACAAAGGCAAAACAGTGGAGAGTCTGGGGGTTGCCCCCACCCCACCCCAGGAAAGAGGAGAAGGTCAGGCCTCACTGGAGAGGAGCCGGGGCCCAGGGTCCCGGGTTGCAGTTCTCCAAGCCAGGAGCCAGCTGGAACCCTGAAACCACCCCGATTCCCACGGTGGGGAGACTGGGGCTGTAAGGTGCTGGTGGGCTCATGGGACTCAGGCGAGCCTCCATTGATTTGTGTCCATTGCGGGGCCTGACCGCCCCTATTTCTCTCACAGTCTTTTTCCCCTGGGACAGCACCTCACAGCTGCAGGGACACCAGCCTGCCGACAGCTTGCCGGACGCCCCGCGACTGTGCACATGGAAGGGTGCAGGTGAGGACAAGATGAGAAGACAGGGGCACCTGCTTAGGGAGGAGGGAGCAAATGGGGGATCATTACTGCTCCCCAACTTCAAGGAGGCTTTGTTTTGCAGGAGGAGGTCACAAGAGTGCCTTAAAGAACTGGGCAAGGGGACAGCGAGCCTAGGGATCTCAGGTGGCACCTGGAACTCAGCTGTTTGGGGCGACAGTGTGCTCGATCTCGTGCCTCATCACAGTTCTGGGTGCAGGGGTCAGAAAAAGGGCAGAGGGCAGGGTCCACCATGACGAACTAGGAAGAAGCCAGGAATGTCCCTTTCACTCCACCCCGACCTGGGGCAGTTGATGGAAGAAATAAATACAAGACGATTTTTTTAGAGGTTTTTGAGGGAGCGTACACTCACCAGAAAGACAGAGAAAGACAGAGACAGAAAGCGAGAAATCACCCCCCAGGGGGGATGGCCACACTGCAATCCCTTCTCCTCCATTCTCCTCTCGGGACCTTGGGCACGCACATACATGTGCCTGGCGTGAGTTTTAAGCCACCGGGTCCGGGACGCAAACCATGGTCAACTACGTGGGAGTCCAGTGACATAGCCATTACGTGAAGTGCTGGTCCCAATTTTTTTTTTTTTTTTTTTTGAGAGAGAGATTTTTGCTATAGGGCATGTGTGCTCACCAGAAAGATAGAGAAAGAAAGTGAGACATCTCCCCAGGTGAATGGCCATACCACAATCCCTTCTTCATTCTCCTCTCAGGATTTTGGCACGCATGCACATGTGGACAGTGGAGTTTCAAGCTGTAGGGTCTGGGACTGAAATGGCTGTCCACCACGTGAGGTTCAGCTCCTTAGCCACTACACTACCTGTTGGCCCCAAGACGATTTTTAAAAAATAATTATTTTATTTTAACTTTATTTCTTTTAATTTGACCAGAGAGGGACAGAGTGAGAGAGAGAGAGGGAAAGTGAGAAAGCAAGCCGCCAGGTCCAGGACTCAAACTGCGGTGGGCCATGTGGGAGTCCAGCACCCTTAACCACCACGCCACTTGCCACCCCAATTTTTTTTTTTTAAAGAATTACCCATTCAATTTTATTCATTATTATTATTATTTTCTTCTTATCCACAGGGCACCTGCACCAGAGAGAGAGAGAGAAATAAGAAAGCGAGCTGCCAGGTCCGGACGTGAGCATGTTCGGACATGGGAAGGTCCAGTGCGCCGACCACCACACCACCTGCTGGCCCTACAACATTGAGACCTTCCTGCACGCCAGTCACCTCGAGGCACTCTTCACACATTATTCTTTAGTTGCCACAGTCGGCCACTAGGGGGAGAAGCACTATTGGTATCCCTGTTCAGAAAGGAATAAGCTGAGTAACCTGCACATGGTGGACTTCAACAACTTAGCTTCCTTCTCTGTACTCTGAGGTTCTTTGTTCCTATGTATTTTTTAAATAATTAATTTATTTTATTCATCATCATTGTTATTATTTTAATTTGGACAGAGAGAGAGGACAAGTGAGAAAGCAAGCCACCAGGTCCGGGACTTGAACTGTGGTCAGCCATGTGGGAGTCCAGTGCCTTAATCACCATGCCACCAGGACCAGCAGTTAACATAATGGCTATGTCACTGGACTCCCATGTAGTCAACTGCAGTTCACATCCCAGATCTGGTGGCTTAAAACTCACACGTGGGGCACGTGTGCGTGCATGCCCAAGATCCCGAGAGCAGAATGGAGGAGAAGGGATTGCGGTGTGGCCATCCCCCCTGGGGGGTGATTTCTCGCTTTCTCTCTCTCTGTCTCTCTCTGTCTGGTGAGCGCACGCGCCCTATAGCAAAAACCTCTCAAAAAAAAAAAAATCACCATGCCACCTGCCAGGTCCTCTTGTTTTTATTTTATTTTAAATGATTATTTATTTAATCATTTATTTATTTATTATTATTATTATTATTTTGTTTGCTATAGTACACATGCATTCCCCAGAAAGAGGCAGACAGACAGAGAAAGAAAAGGAAAGTGAGGAAGTCCGGTCAGCCATGTGGGAGTTCAGCACCTTTAACCACCATGCCACCTGCTGGCCCCCTCTTGTTTTTTTTTTTTTTTTTTTTTTTTATTCAGAATAAGTGTTTACAAGTCTGGTTAGTTGAAAGGAAAATAATTTTCATGAAACAAAATACTGTTTCAGCAATTACAAAGGAAAATTAATATACAATCCAACTAAACTGTTTTTCTTGCCCATACAACAGGATGTTTTTATCACCAGCTTTTCATTTTCGTAAGAAAATCTCGTGGTAGCCACACATTGCTGCTCCACAAAACCTCAGAGTGGGCCTCCTCTGACAGGTAGTGACCCCCACTCATTATTAAGATGCTAGTCAGTGACATCTAGTTTCATTCAACACTCAGGACACTGGTAAAACTGTCAGGTTTTAAGAAGTGACTTTCTAATATTCTTCCACATGCTTTGGAATCTTCTCGTGTACCTTAATGCCTTCCAGTAACTGCTTCCACATACCACTGGAAGACGGCACCATCATTCCTGCAACACGCCAAGCAACTCACTAGTCCTGACGTAAAAGCACCTCTTGTTTTATTTTTAAAGACAGTGTTCTTGAGGCCAGCTGGTGACATGGTGGTTAAGGTTCTGGACTCCCACATGGCAGACTGAGGTTTGAGTCCCAGACCCTACAGCTTGAAAAGCACACCAGGGGGAACCAGCAGTTAGTGTAATGGCTATGTCACTGGACTCCCACGTAGTCGACAGCGGTTCGTGTCCTGGACCCGGTGGCTTAAAACTCACACTGGGTGTGTGTGCGTGCGTGCCCAAGATCCCAAGAGGAGAATGGAGGTGTAGGGATTGCGGTGTGACCATCCCCCCTGGGGGCTGATTTCTTGCTTTCTGTCTCTATGTCTCTCTCTGTCTGTCTGGCGAGCGCATGCGCCCTATAGCAAAAAAAAAACTCTCAAAAAAAAAAAAAAAGAAAAAGAAAATCACACCAGGTTGGGGACCAGCAGTTGGCGTAATGGCTATGTCACTGGACTCCCAATGTAGTCGACTGTGAGTTTAAGCCCCGACCTTGTGGTTTAAACTCATGCTGGGCATGTGTGCGTGCATGCCCAAGATTCCAAGACAAGAATGAAGGAGAAGGAATTGTGGTGTGGCCATCCCCCTCGGGGGGTGATTTCTCACTTTCTGCCTCTCTGTCTCTGTCTTTCCAGCAAGTGCACATGCCCTATAGCAAAAACTTCTCAAAAAAGAAAGAAAGAAAATCACGCCACGCCAGGCATGTGTGTGTCTGTGTCCAAAACCCCAGGAGGAGAATGGAGGGGAAGGGATTGCGGTGTAGCCATCCCTCCATGGGGTGATTTCTCACTTTCCCTCTCACTGTCTCTCTGTCTCTCTCCAGTGAGCGTACACGCCCTATGGCAAAAATCTTTAAAAACAAAACAAAACAGGGCTCTGTGACAGCTGGCGGTGTGGTGGTTGAAGTGACTGGATCCCGCATAGCCAGCTGCACAGCTTAAGTCCCAGACCTAGCCGCATGAAATACATGCCAGGCTCGTGCATGTGCACCCAATATCCCAGAGGAGAATGGAGGAGAAGGGACATCCCCTCAGGTGGGTGCTTTCTCATTTTCTCTCTGTCTCTCTGTCTCTCTCTGATGAGTACACAAGCCCTATGGCAAATTTAAAATAAATGAAAAAAGTGAAAAAGAGAGGGCCTTCCATGTCATGATCCTCCTGCCTCAGTCTCCCATGTCACTGGGATTACAGAAGCCCCGATTTTAGGTTGGATCAGAAATTGAACCTGGGCCTCTGAGGGCCCAGCCTGCTGAGCACAATGACTTATCAGCAGGGGCCCCCATGGTTGGGCCTATATTCTTATTTTCAATTTTGCCAGAAAGTTCATGCACTCGCCAGAAAGGGAAGGACAGACAGGGAATGTAAGAAACAGCCCCCACCATGGTGGATGGCCACACCATAATCCTTTCTCCTCCATTTCTCCTTCATTTTGGAACTTTGGGCATGCATGTACACGTGCAGTGTGTTTTTCAAACTTCCAGGTCTAGGACTCAAACTCTGGGATTGACCATGTGGGATCCAGTCACCTTAACCACCATGCCATCAGTTGGTTCCTTAGTATTATTTTAGTGTTCTTTGACTTGTAGAAGCATCATCCAGACCTCTGCCCTCATCTTCACAAGGCATTCTTCCCATGTGTGCGTTTTTAGATGTGCCCTCCCCCCTTTTAAAAATTTTGCTAGAGTAGTGTGCTTGGCAGAGAGAGACACAGAGAGAGAGACACGAAGAGAGATAGAAAGTGAGAAAACACTTCTACGGCGGATGGCTATATCACATTCCCTTCTTCATCACTCTATCTTTTTGGGGTTTTGAGAACTCATGTACGTGTGTGTGTCCACTGTGTTTTTCAAGGCACCGGGTCCAGGACTTAAACCATGCAGTCAGCCATGTGAGATCCAGTCACCTTAACCATCATGCCACAGGCTGTCCTAAGATAACTTCTTTTTATAAGAACATAAGTCATATTGGATTAGGGCCCACTCTAATGACCTCAGTGTAACTAATTACACCGCAACTACCCTGTTTCCAAATAAGGCAACATTCCGAGGTACTGGGAGTTAGGACTTCAAAGTATGAATGTGGCGTGCGTGCGTGCGTGGGGGGCGGGGCACACTCAATCTTACAGCGTGTAACACTTAATCTTTCTGCACCGAATCCCGGGACCTTCTCTGACGCTCATGACAGCTGTTACAGACAGGGTCTGTACTGTCTTCATCTGTAAGTTCAGAAAGGTGAGACCATTTACCCAAAGGTTCACAGCAACTAGTAAAACGAAGCCCTGGGGTTTGGACCAGACTAAACTATGTGGATCGTTTGATCCGTTTGGAGCAGAAGAGAGTTAGGTTCCAATCTTTCCCTTCCTCCCTCAGGCTGGGCCTTGTGGGCCCTCTCCCAGTGGCCCTGCTGGGCCTTCTCTTGACTTCCTCCCAGCTCTTGGGAGGCTGTGTTGTCTCCAAGGTTTTCCAGAGAAACTGAAATCCGCCAGTTTCTCCATCTGCCCCAGGGGCCCCGGCCCTGGCCCCCGCTGTGTGGGTGGCTCTGGGTGGGAGGTGTGTGTCAGGGCCAGGGCAGAGACAGGAAATGCACAGAGTCTAGTGAAGGGAACATCGCTGCCGCGTGCACAGGGTTCCAAAGGCCCCTGCGGAAATTCCAGGCACCTAGCACCTGGCATCCGTGGGAACCAGCTCCACCCTCAGAGTGGCTATCCCTTAGTAGCTGTGGCCTTGCCAAGGTCGGGGCATCCTCTGGCCCTCCTGTCTCTGGCCCCCATTAGCCAAATCCAACCAGAATCCAGAGGCTGCAGGAAGCTTGTTCACCCAGATCAAGGAGGCCAGCCACCTTGGGGTAGAGAGAAGGTGGGAAAAAGCAGAAAGTGGATCGGGGAGAGGAGGTGAGTGGAGAAAAGCCAGGGCCACTGGGAAGGGGGACTTTCACATGGGACAAAACCCTAGGGACAGGCACATGTCCTAGCTCCTCTTCCAGGCTGGAGTCCCTGGACGAATGAATGAGTTAAAATGTGAATTAATAATGAATTTTTAAATGGATGAGTAAGAGAATGAACTGGAGAGGCCGACTTGCCCAGGCACTCTGTCCATCAACCAATGAGTGGACAGATAAAGCATGGTGCATCCATGCAGTGGCTATTAGCCAGCAAAAAGAAGTCCTGCTACATGCTGCAACACGGCTGGTCTTCAAATCATGCTCGTGAAAGAACTCAGACACGCATGACCACATACCGCCTGGTTTCACTCATTTGAAATGTTCAACACTCCAGGCACGCGTGCGTGTGCCCGTGATCCTGGCGGACTGAAAGGCTTGGGGTGGGAGAAGGAGACCACAGAGTGAGGCCCTGCTGAGGGTGCTTGTCATTCTCTCTTTTACTCACTCTCTCGGAATAAATATTTAAAAATAAAAATGCTCAGGGGACCAGCAGTTAGTGTAATGGCTATGTCGCTGAACTCCCATGTAACTGGCCGCGGTTTGAGTCCCGGACTCAGTGGCTGAACCTCACGCCGAGCGTGTGTGCGTGCATGCCCAAGATCCTGAGAGAAGAATGGAGGGGAAGGGATTGCGATGTGGCCATCCCCCCGGAAGGTGATTTCTTGCTTTCTGTCTCTCTGTCTCTCTCTGTCTGTCTGGCGAGTGCATGCTCCCTATAGCAAAAACCTCTCCAAAAATAAATAAATAAATATGCTCAGAATTCACAGAGAAAGGTGCAGATTTGTAAAGATGTAATTAAATGAATTAAAATGAAAAATGCAGACCCTCAGTTGGACTAGTCATCTCCCAGGGCTTGACGTCTTCACAAGGTCCCCGTATCAGATCGCACAGTAGAAC